TTTTTTTCTGGAGAAGGCTGAGTATTTTAATTCAATTACTTTATTGATTAATTGGGGGTGGGGGGGGCGAGGGCACAAAGATTCCTGTGCTGCTCAAAGACATTGACAATTCTTTGTCGACAGAAAAAAATAGAAATGAGCGCATGAGCACTACAAGAGCCCCAAAGGTCCACCTGGCTGAAAACTCGGAGAAGTTTCAACTAAAAGAGTTTCAACTCTGCAAGAGTGGTCAGGCATTGGACCAGGCTGCCCAGGGCAGTGGTGGAGTCCCCATCTCTAGAGGGGTTCAAAAACCGTGTAGATGTGGCACTTGGGACATGGTTTAGGAGGCATGGTGGTGTTGGGGTGACGGTTGGACTCGATGATCTTAGAGGTCTTTTCCAACCTCAATGATTCTATGATTCTGTGATTAAAACCTGAACTTCCTTTATGTGACAGAGCCAGCAGAGTATCACATGGGAGTTATAACTCAGCTGCCCCCTGCTTCCCCTCTTCTGCAGGGAGCATCCCCTGCAACCAGGGTTGCCTGCCAAGGGGCTGGTGCCCATAGCAAAAGGAGACCACCAAGAGCTGCAGCAAGACTTGGCCATGGACCGTGGGGGAGTTGGGAGCAGGAGATACCCAAGTAACAATGCTCTCCGGGTGCTAGGACGTGTTTCTGAATCATGCACAGAGATGTAGTGATTTAAGGGAAAAAAATACAGTGGCTGTGGGTTACGTGATTTCTCTTTCCAGTGTTTATTGTCCACAGTAAACAAATAAGTCTGGCAGCTATTGTATATGTTATTAGCATCACTTGTAGCTTATTAGCCAAAGTCAATAGTTCTTGTTAATAAGGACACTTTTCAGTGTTTTGCAGAACACAAGGTGTCCTGCAGTGAAACAGCCTTGGTTTCTGTGTCTCTGACACTGAAAGTGTCGGGCTGGGTTCTCTTTTTCCCCGCTTTCAGGCTTTGCACAGGAGGACGCAGCACAGGTTTGGCTGCTCGTGTACCCCGTGGCGTCTGGTGCCTCGCGCAGACCCAGGTGGGCGGCTATGCAGGCGACACAGCTCTGGGCCATGCTGTCACGCATCCCACCCTCACTGCCACCGGCCTCGGAGGGACCAGCTTTCTCCCCGGCCTGCCTGTGGGAAGGACTCTCCAGGGGAGAGGCGAAAGGGGAGATTGCAACCCAAAACCTGATTTGTTCTCTTCAGCATTTAGCTGAACAAAATGCATTTTTAATGGAGGAACTCCTTCTCCCGTTGCCTGAATCCGGGGCTGGGCTTCATACATTCCATAGCCATCTGGAGACGGTACAAATGCTCAGGAACTGTTCTGTCGCCAGATGCTTCCTCGACTGAGATGCTCAGGCAGCAAGAGAACAAAACACCTTAAATATTTCCAGCTGTATGTTTACGCCTTGTGTGCAGGACAGCACAGCATACGCGCCAGTACTCAGAACTGCCCCCCAACCTCATTAGACCTAAGGTGATCAGATCATTTAAATGAAAAGCAGGGCTGCAGAATCAGACATTTCCCATCCTGTCGGCATTAGCCACCTGGCACACCACACTCGGGCCAGCAGATCTCTTAGAATCGCTGAGGTTTGAAAAGACCTCTAAGATCGTCCAGTCCAACCGTCAACCCAACACCACCTTCAGCTCCACCAGCTCCGACTGCCCAGCCGCACCGAAAGCATCCCCCTCTGCTTTTCCCTTGAAGCCAACGTGTGACTGGGCACCGCGGTACAAACCGTGCCTGCCTGGCCCTCTGAAATCAGAGCATGGGTGTTAAATCTGCCCCACTCCCACTGGAGCCACGGGATTTCAATTACTAACCGTAACAGGGGCACTGAATGAACCCAGTCTAACCCAGCTCCGCCATCCCCGGTTTGATTCGCTTCAAGTGGAAGTAGGGGCACACCAAACTGAAGCACCATTTCAAAAGCCGGAGGAGGACCTCCAAATCCCACCCCTTTTGCCAAGCAGGACTTAGGAAACTGAGACTGGGAGGGATGAAGTCTCTGTGATCTCGATCTGGTAACCTAATCCATCTCGTTTTCATTCTTTCCTTTTCAACATGTTTTGTTTTGAAAGGGAAAACGAACCAACTTTTGATTTTCTGGAGAGGTCAAGAGGGAAAGAAGGGTAAAAATTGAGAGCTTAATAATTTCACTCTGCAGTGGCGTGCATGTCCATTCACTGACGGGTACCCAGGCTGCAACGCAGAGATTAAAGGCAATTTATCCAAGAAATAAAAATGGTCTGCCTACACACCAAATTTGCATTTCTTTGAGTCTGGCACAAAACCAGCTGAGTTATTTTCAGCTCTTATAAGAGTTTCTTCTGCAGAGTAAAACGTCTGTGTCCATCTCAGTAAATGTGTAACTGCTGCCCAGACGTGCTGGGTCCGGCTAAAGGTTGTGTGTCCATACCTGGAACTTTCTATGCAGCCAGCGTCCAGCCGGGGACCTGGCCGGCCTGAGCTAACTCTCTTCGGCCCCCCCAGCCTGTGATGCTTTGCGCAACGCCGCTGCGGGCAGGTAGAAAGGGCTCTCCCGTGGAAAGGGCAGAAGTCCACCAGCAACCACACCGCGTCTCCATCGGGAAGAGGTGTCCCAAGCGGGGACAGCGTCAGATCGGCCGCACGCACCAGGACGGAGGCGAGTAAGCCAGCTTGCTGGATTTACTTTGAATGCTGATTATTCAACTCAGGTTTTCGTGCTTTTCTGAAAGGCTCGGGGCTGGCTTCTTTAGGGAATTAAACCACGCTTGCTTTCCACAGACGGGGCTTAGGGTTGGTGCTGGTAGTGAGGACTGCTCCTCTTGCTGCTGCTCATGAGAGTAGAGTTGGCGTGGTGGCTTTGGTAGTGGTGGAGATGTGACCACCGGGCACCGGCGGTGCCCAACGGTACAGCCTGACCAGGTGGCACAGTGTCATCCTCTCTGCTGCTACAGGAAGAATTAAGTAATGCTTCAAAATAATTGTATGATGCAGAGAACAGGGGAAGGGCAGTGCCTATAATTCGTGGCTCTTTCATTTGTTTTCTTGAGCTGTCCCAGAGAGCAGACTAGCAATGGACAGTGGCTGGGCTAACTGCGAAGGTGAAGCTGGGAAGGCACCTCCCAAGATAACTTTTTCACTGGCCATAAGGCCTGAGGAAGCCCTGCAGTGCTGCATATCACCTGCTGCTGGTGGGGCTGGGGAGGCGAAGACGTGTCAGGGAGCTGAGGGGACGGCAGCACCCACCGCCGCTGCCTACACGTGAATTCAGAGCATGGGGTGGGAGTTAATGGGGAAGAGCAACCCTTGGGTGAAGGCACAGGGCTGGAGGTCCTCCCCTGCCCGCCTCTGCAGAGCAAATAGTTTCAGGCCTGACCCGCGGGCACCCACAGGGAAGGTGCTCAGACGTCCCAAGGAACCATCACTGCAGCAAACCAAGCTGTTAGGTAGGAGCCTGCAGCCTGGGAACGGAGATGCACACGTTAGCAGGCACACCTACTTAGCAAGGTATGCCTAATTACCAAGCATCTGCACAGCTCGTTTTTTGTATTTGCAAGAGCACGGTGATTTAGCAAATGGGTATTATTAGGCATGAAACACTTGGGGACCCCTCACTGAACTGAGCGTGGTTATACACTGCAAACCATGCTGGGGAGGTGCCAGGTCTTGAATGGCTGGATTCAAACCCAGACACTTCCACCCTGTGTAAATGAAAGTGTTGGTGAGAAGGAGATCACACCGCGTCCTCTCAAAAGGCTCAGGCTACCAGAATTACAATAACTGGCAGGCTGGCATGACTGAAAAAGTCTTGGAGAAAGCAGGCAGAGAGCAGAGCTAGGTTACTGGCAAGGCTGTCAGCATTTTGCCCACCCAATGCTCTCTGCAGAGCTTGGAAAGGGCAGAAGAGGGTGAACAGAGCCACAATAAACAAGAAATGACTGACAGAATAAAAATACAGCTCTGCGTTGGATTCAGATTTGGATTTCAAATATACAGATTCAAAGTCATAGACTAGAAATCCAGGGAAGGCACAGCAGAGGTATTGGTTATCAAAAGATCAGCTATAGGATAAGTGAGAATTACGAAAATGCAAAATTTGCCAGGGTGTTTGCATGAATTACGAAAATGCAAAATTTGCCAGGGTGTTTTCACATATATGTGTATAGATGGATGTACGTGTGTGTGTCCCCATGACTTTCTCATTCCCAGTACGCACCATATCTTTATCCCAAAATACTAGTGACAGCCATATCCAGTAAAATACTTATCAGGAAAAACAAGAGCAGCAGGTGGTCTTTTGCTGCAGGGGAAAACTGTCTGTACAGCAGAGTAAAACTCAGCTTACCCCTTCTAACTCTGTATTCTGATAAAGAAAAGGGTTCCAGCACCTTTGTACGAGGAAGCCTTGAGCGTGTTTGCCTAGAAGCTGGAACGAATGTTTGCGCTGGGCTATGAAAACACAAAATGCTGTGTTAGTGGCAAGTATTACGCTGACTAGACATACAAAATGGGGTGTTCAGCGGTCAGACCTCAAGGGACCCGGTTTCCAAACCCAATTCCCGCTTAACAGCGGGCAAATCGCTCAGCCCGTCCGCGTGCCAGCGAGATTTGGCGCAGCGGTTTGCAGAGCCAGCTCTGCCCCGGTGCCAGGAGCAACGCCGTTGCGTTCTCACAACGTTTTGCCAGACCTAGCACCCTCCAGTCTGCGAGCCTGACCCGCCGGCACGCACAACCCTCTTGCCTCCCGTGCTGCAGCGGGTAACGAAGCCAAACCTGCACTGAGCGTTTCCTCGCCTGCCGCCGTTGACGCGGGCGGTCGCATCTCCCTGGGCTTTTTGGGGAGCAGAGTCAGACCAGCTGGCACTAAATACTGAAATTCCTGCCTTTGCAGCTCCAGCGCAGCACTCACACCTCGCCCTGCGAGTAAGAGAAACTGTGTTTACACCAGGTTGATCAGCCTTCTTTCCTCCCCGCTTTTTCTTCCAGCAGACCCCGCGGAAGCAATTTCTCGACATGAACCTGGCAGCAGATCTTCTGTGTGCGTTGGCGTGCCTCACCGCAGTGACCTGTGACCGGGTCTACGTCCACCCTTTCAATTTGTTTTCTTTCAACAAGAGTACCTGCGAAGAGCTGGAAAGCCTGGTCCAGGAGGGAAAGAAAACATTTGTCCCTGTCCCCATTGACTCCCAAACCACACCTGTCTATGAAGATGACCTGAGGGACAAGGACAAGATGGAAGCCCCGAGCCTGAGCGGCCGAGGCAGGCAGAAGCTGAGCTACCTGAAGGACTTTGTGTACGTCCTGGGCACACGGTTTTACAGCGAGCTGCGGGACAGGCGGCGGGGCCAAAACGTGATCCTGTCCCCAACCAGTCTTTACGGCTCCTTGGTGTCTTTCTATCTGGGTGCCTCGAACCAGACGGCAGCCGACCTGCAGCGTTTGCTGGGGTTTGTTCCCCCCTCCGGAGACCCCGACTGCACCTCCAGGGTGGACGGACACAAGGTCCTGTCCAGCCTGAGGACGATCGAAAGCCTCGTCAAGAGCAAGGAGGAGGAGCTGCTCTTCTCCAAGACGCTCTGCCTGTTCTCTGCCCCCGGCGTGCCTCTGTCCCAACCCTTCGTGCAGGACTTGCTCCCCTCCGCTGATGCTCTTTACGCCCGAGCTGTTGACTTTACAAACCCAAGTGAGGCAGCAAAGCAAATAAACGCCTTCGTGGAGGCCAAAAGCAAGGGGCAAAGCAAATGCTTCCTGACAGACATCGACCCGGCCGCCGACCTGCTGTTTGTGGTGGACGTCGGCTTGGCAGGGAGGAGGCAGCCATGCTCGTCTCGGGGACGGGCTGGGTGGAGGATGGGCAGTGGCCACGCTCCCGGGAGGGAGGCAAGGTCATGCCTGGCCAGCGGCGAGAGGGAAGGGCTTGGAGGAAAGGCTGGAGTGCCGCTCCGTGCACGGCCCCCTGCTCCCTGCTGCCGTGCTCCGGGTCCTGTCCAAGCTCTTGCAGGGCAACGAGGAGGAGGTGGAGGGAGACGGCCTCTGGGAAATCCTCCTTGACCAGGAAGCTGAGGATTAGGGGAAAATGAATAACAGAGGATTGCACAGCATTTCTGACTGCAAAGGAATGAAAAGTCATGAGAGGCCTGCAGCAAAAATGATCAGGAAGCAGGTTTAAAGGAAGCCAAAAAGAACCCCACTTTTCTCCAAAATGCTTATTTCTGCAGGAGAATAGCCCAGAGGTACAGGTTCAAGAAAGGCTGTAAAAGATAAGGGGCAGGGTTCCTCTAGTGGCTATTAAACACAGAAGGCTGGAGGCAACTTCTGACTCAGGAAGCAACCAAACAAGCTACCAGTTAGAATCATAGAATGGTTTGGGTTGGAAGGGACCTGAAAGATCACCTGGTTCCAACCCTCCCCTGCCATGAGCAGGGACATCTTCTACCAGACCAGGGTGCTCAGAGCTCCATCCAACCTGGCCTTGAACCCTGCCGGGGGGGGGGCAGACACAGCTTCTCTGGGCAACATGGGCCAGTGTTTCATTACCCTCATGGTGAAGAATTTCTTCCTAATATCTCATCTAAATCTGCCCTCTTTTAGTTTAAAGCCATTCCCCCTTGTCCTATCACTGCACACCCTTGTGAAAAGCCCCTCTCCATCCTTCCTGTAGGCCCCTCCAGGCACTGGCAGCTACTCTAAGGTCACCCCGGAGCCTTCTCTTCTCCAGGCTGAACAGCCCCAACTCCCTCAGCCTGTGCTCATAGGAGAGGTTCTCCAGCCCTTGGATCATCTTGATGGCCCTTCTTATGGAAGCTGGGAGCATATACAAAATTTAAACAATCAAGGCAATCCCTTAATTACCCAGGGTCATTCCATGCTGCTGTCCCAGAAATCCCCCAGTACCACAACTGAGTCTTGTCTTCTGAGCGTGGTTGCTTTTTAACATTCTTGTGACTGAATGCAACACCAGACATCGCACGCTTTAGGTCAGCTTGCCTACCAGTGGCAAAAGAAAAGCTGCAGCTAGACAGAATTTTCTAAATGGGCCTCTACTGCTAAGGGCAGAGCCCTGGTGCTCGTGAAATGCTTTCATGCCTTCACCTTCCCACCTGGAAACTGGATATCAGGTTTCGTTTGCCTTTCACAGGTGCTGTCATGAACTGATCCCAGCTCCTGAGGGAGCTGTGAGCATCAGGTTTCTCTTCAGCATAAGGTCTAGCGTGGAGAGGATACTGCAAAAATAATTCTTGTGTTACAGATTTGGGCACGGTCACAAAAGTAGAGGTTTTCTTTTAGGAGAGCAACTTTTTCTTCTTCTTTTGTATTGGAAACTTGGTTTTTTTAGCAGCTTAGGACCCTTCGCACATGCTCGAGGCCTTGAGTCACTGGGTCATCTCTACTACCTCCTCTCTTAGAAGGGTGCTCTTGAGATGTCTCAGTCTCCCCAGGTGGGGTGGAAAAAATGGGCTCAAGAATGAGTGAATTAGATAAGCAACTCTTTTCTAATAAACACGTGATGGACTGCAGCATTTGCGTTGCCATTCGGTTTCGGAGGGGCAACCATGGCAGCTGATGCTGCTGTCTTCCACGTCTGTCCCTACAGCTGCAGAAAAGAAAAAGCACAATTCTGTTGTGAAACACATTATGTGTACTCCTGAGATGCTATCAACAGCCAAAGGATTGGTAAAATGACAAAAATCCATACAAAATAAAAGCTAAATGTTCCAGGGGTCCCAGCTGTTGTTCGCTTGCACACGGCTGTTCTCACGTTTGCCAGCTCGCTGCCGAGCAGGGGCTGCCATTTAGAATCCAACGCAGAACATCAGGTGCACATCTTACTGATAGACTTCTGGGTTTTTTTTGAAGTTGCAAAATAATGACAAACTAGTGACTGAATACAGCTCAGTGGGACTGCGTGATATTTAGTGCCCTTACCTTCTCCTATTTAAACTCTCTTTTGAAAAGACACGCCTTAACAACTTCAGTTTGAACTAGAAATTTGGTAGGATGTTTTTTGCTATACTTTTTTGTTGACAGTAAAAAGTCATAGCTTTCCACAGAAAGTCATCCTCTCGTTAGGTTGTCAGGCTAGCATCAAGCCCGTGTTACAGAACGTGGAGATCATCACCTGAAGCAGAGAGGTCCAGCCTTTCTTCCCTGGACTCCCAAGTCAGCACTGCAGAGAGCTCTGGTGCTCTCCCAGGCTACATCTTTGCTCTGTGATCGACAGCTGTTTCCACCTCAGTTATCTTAGAATCATAGAATGGTTTGGATTGGAAGGGACCTTAAAGATCATCTGGTTCCAACCCCCCTGCCATGGGCAGGGACATCTTCCACCAAACCAGGCTGCTTAGAGCTCCATCCAACCTGGCCTTGAACACTGCCAGGGAGGGGGCAGCCACAGCTTCTCTGGGCAACCTGGGCCAGGGTTTCACCACCCTCATGGGGAAGAATTTCTTCCTAATACCTCATCTAAATCTACCCTCTTTTAGTTTAGAGCCGTTCCCCCTTGTCCTATCACTACACACCCTTGTGAAAAGCCCCTCTCCATCCTTCTTGTAGGCCCCTCCAGGCACTGGCAGCTGCTCCAAGGTCACACCAGAGCCTTCTCTTCTCCAGGCTGAACAGCCCCAACTCCCTCAGCCTGTGCTCGTAGGAGAGGTGCTCCAGCCCTCTGATCATCTTCGTGGCCTCCTCTGGCCCCGCTCCAACACATCCATGTCCTTCCTGTGTTGGAGGCTCCAGAGCTGGGTGCAGGACTCCAGGTGGGGTCTCATGAGAGTGGAGTAAAGGGGCAGAATCACCTCCCTCGACCTGCTGGCCACGCTGCTCTTCAGGCAGCCCAGGATTTCTGGGCTGCAAGCACACATTGCTGGTTCCTGTTGAGCTTCTCATCCACCAGTACCCCCAAGTCCTTGTCCTGGGGGCTGCTCTCGAGCCACTCTCCGCCCATCTTCACTTTATCGCAGGCCCAGGTTTCTCCCCTGGTTTGCTGTGGCTGCTGGAAGGTTGCCCAGTCCCACAGCTGCCATGTCCCAATGTGAGAGTCTCACTGTAAGAAACCATCTCTCCCAGCGTGTCAGCTATCACCTTCTACAGTAGGGATGCTCATCATCTTCAGTGTTCCTTGTTGTACGTTCCAGGTGTCTGGGACAAAAAGCAGGTTTTTTAGCAACTAGATCTCTCCCACATCTTAAAAAAAATGCTGTAAGAAACAAATGGTCATACTAAGCCTACTAACATCTTTTGGAGCACTCTCAAGGTACACACCTAGCTATGCCTTTGAAGGGCACAGACGTCCAGACCCTCACCCAGCCAAAGTCCATGGGGAGCCGGTGCAAACACATGGGTGCTGGTTCATCCTGCTTCATGGCCTGTACAATGTTAATGGACTTTGTCCCAAAGTCAGCAGCAGAGCTTTGAGTTCTTGCAGCGTCTTTCCCAAGACTATTAAAAACCAGTTACTAGCCCATCTTGATATGTTTAGCTATCTGAATGCCCTATTCTTTTCTCGTTCGATTTAACTCTGTTACAGTCTTGAATTTTGCTATACAGAATCACAGAATGGCAGGGCTTGGAAGGGACCTCTGTGGGTCACCCAGCCCAACCCCCTGCCAAAGCAGGGTCACCCAGAGTAGGCTGCACAGGACCGCGTCCAGGCGGGTCTTGAATATCTCCAGAGAAGGAGACTCCACGACCTCCCTGGGCAGCCAGCTCCAGGGCTCTGTCACCCTCAGAGTGAAGAAGTTCTTCCTCATGTTCAGCTGGAACTTCCTCTGCTTCAGTTTGTGCCCGTTGCCCCTTGTCCTGTCACTGGGCACCACTTAAAAGAGTCTGGCCCCATCCTCCTGACATCCAGCCTGCAGATATTTGTAGGCATTTCTAAGGTCCCCTCTCAGCCTTCTCTGATCTGACCCCTTTTAGTTTACAGCCGTTTGTGCCCGTTGCCCCTTGTCCTGTTGTTGGGCACCACTGGAAAGAGTCTGGCCCCATCCTCCTGACCCCCACCCTGCAGATATTTGTAAGTATATTTTAGGTCTCCTCTCAGCCTTCGCTTCTCCAGGCTGAACAAGCCCAGCTCCCTCAGCCTCTCCTCGTAGGAGAGATGCTCCAGTCCCCTCATCATCCTCGTAGCCCTCCGCTGGACTCTCTCCAGTAGCTCCTCAAACTGTGAGCATAAATTCTGCAGGTTATACAGACCTTGTGAAAGTGGCTCCTCCCTGCTTTTGGCTTGCATCTCCTGTTCTTCTAAAGTAAGGAAAGAACGTGAATAACTCGACTGCCTAATTCTTTCTTTTGCTTACACCTTTCACAGCTCCTACCTGCCTCTTCTTTTTGCTGAAGTTACAGCAGGTGAAAGGGCCTAAATGCTCTCTTTATGCAAGTTCATTTAAGAGGCAAGTGTTCCCATGAAAAGCCACTTACTACATATTAAATATGTTAGGGTCCAGTGTTTATCTGGATTTATTGGGGAATAGATGAGTTAACAGTGCAGCTAGACCAGCTCCTATCTTCTACCAATATTAATTACTTTAATTGCAACAAGTTCCTTTCTTTACCACAACATATAGATTTGTTTTCCTAATTCCACCAAACAGCAATTTCAGGATGTCAGATCTTTGCCCTTCTCGCTGATGGCGGGAGTTGCTTTAACGCCAGCCGCGCTGACGTCTGGCAGCGAGCAGGTGACGTGTTGAAACGCAAAGCCGCACAGCAGGAGCGGGAGGCGAGAGCAAGGCTTCCCAAACTTGTCAACTGGGCAAGGAACTAATATCAAGGTTTAGCAAGTGGTCAGGTCTGTCCTTTTCAACCTCCTCGGCTCAGTCAGCGCTTTGGTGTTGTTTCCTACCTTCCCCATTGCTTGGTTGACAAGATGGCCAAGGGCGAGACCTCCGCCCACGCTCGTGCTGCCTTCCCTCTCCCGCACGGCTGCCCAAGAGCTCCAGCCCCTGCCTGATGCTACCAGGAGGCATAATAAAGGCAGGATACATGTGTTTTACCACAGCTAACGTGATTTTACACACACAACCCTTGTCTAATGCACAGGGTGTTGTTTTTGAACTGACATATATGGCGGCAGAGGGGAAGGAGGGAAGAAAGAGAAGAATCAACTTCTTTCTCACTCTGTTTTTCAGCGAAGGTTAAGCAAGCCTCCCGGCTCAAAGAGCCTCAGGAGTTCTGGGTGGATTCACACACGAAGGTCTTGGTCCCGATGTTGTCAGTCACGGGGACATTCAAGTACAAAACCGATGCCAGTGGGACTTTCTCCGTGGTGGAAGTGCCCCTCAGCGAGACCGCGCTGCTGGTGCTGCTGCAGCCCGTCAACGGCAGCGACCTGGAGCACGTGGAGTCCGAGCTGTCCCTGCAGTCCCCGGCCTGGCTTCAGCAGCTGTCCCCAAGGTACCAGGCATCCCGCAGGGACCAACGCACCCAGGTGCCCTGCGCCAGCCTGCCTGCTCGCTGCCTTAACACCAAGCACCCACGCTTGCAGACCCCAGGGACCTCATCCCAAGGTCCCTTGACTTTGGTGGGATTGGCTGCTTCTTTGTGGGTATTTTAGGGAAAGGAGCAAGTCCCTTCCCATAGCTGACAGTGCAGGAACCACAGCGTGCGATCATTTGAGATTCAACAGCAGATTTTGGGTGACTTCCCACTTGGAAGCAGTAACAAGCCACCCATCAGCCCACCTGTCCCCACACACTGAGTGCTTCTGGGGAACGGACATGTGAAAACAGCCCCCTGAAGGAACACCCAAACACCCTGCTTCCATGCCACAGAGCGTGTGCTCACTCAGCTCTCTCTCTCTTTTCCGCAGGAAAATCAAATTAACGCTGCCGGAGTTCACACTACGAGGCAGCTCTGATCTACAGGAGCTTCTCGCAGACATGGAACTGCCCGCGCTGCTGGGGAAGGGGGCAGATCTCAGTAAAATAAGCGACGCCAATCTAAGCGTTGGAAAGGTACAGTACACATCACTGGCATTCAACAAATACGCCTCCTGCTCCGTTTCAGCCTCTTTAACTGTCCAGTTGGCCTAGAACAAACCAGCCAGAGCCATGTGGGACACATGCTAGTAGGTGACTTCCCAGATCCCAGAATGGTAGGAGTTGGAAGGGACCTCTGTGGGTCATCTAGTCCAATCCTCCTGCCAAAGCAGGGTCACCTACAGCAGGATGACTGAACGTCAGTGAATATTTCTTACACCAACCCATCAGCAGAAACAGATTTGCTTTAAACTACCCAAATTTTGTCACTGCAGCAAACAAAATGCAGCAGAGAGGTGAAGTTCTGAGTGTGCTAGGTACTCCAAGTACAAATTAGACCACATTCGTTACCACCTCCAGCTCAAACACCTCCGGGTACTGCAGCTGCTGGGGATAATCCTCCATCGCTTTGGGACTGCGCCCAGAAATCGCCGGCGCCGAGGTGCCTGCAGCACACAACCTTGCCTGAAAACAGGCTCCAGCATTCAAGTCCCAAGGGGAAGGAGGGAGAGCTTGGAGGAGAGGGCTGTCTTTCATAAAAAGAAGGCAAATTATGTTCCAGAAGTGTAATTCGAGTGCCTTTACTTGTATTTAATTTTATTTTCAGAAGCTGTCCTACCTTGGAAGCTGTCAGGGGCTTCAAGGGTACCAGGATTTCATACGGCCCAAGTGTATGAGCTGTTAAAAATTTTGTTCTCACACGAGTGGGTTACGCTAGGTATTGCTTTATTCACAACTCAGAGTTGGTCCATCACCTCAATGAGTGGCAAAGCTTAACTCACTAGATCAGTTCATATACATTTATTAAAAGTATTGCATTAAGTCCAGAATCTTCATAAGTCTCTAGGCAACCGTTCCGTTCCTTGAAGTACGTCATTTATTAAGTTCTTTCTATTCTTCTGTCTTCCTAGAATTCTCCTCGCTGGTTTCAGGCCTTGCTTGGTTTCAGGGTCGTCTCAGAGTCGTCGTCTGTCCTTCATCTTTTGTGAATTCTGATATAATCCATACAGTTGGTTTCTATCCCAATTGCAGCATACCGATTGTATGGTTTCTTAACACAGCTGTGTTTACACAATTGCATCTATGTTCTAGTTCTATGATTTTATTCTATTCTATAATCAATATTCTTTATAATCAGTCTCTAACAGAGCAGTTGTAGAGCTTTTCCACATGTTACAGAACAAGCGCTCCAAGGTCTTTTTCAAACATCCATGGAGTCTATCCTGCGCTCCTTACAGCCGATTTCAGTTACTGATGACTTCGTGCACTAGGAAGCACTTAAACCCTCATTCGCATCTTCGCTATCACGCTCCGATGACCCCGGATTTACTCATGTGTTTTGCCTTACAGGTAATAAATAACGCCTTCTTCCAACTGAGCGGTGATGGAACAGAGCAGGCAGAAGGCCCCGCGGCGCAGAAGGGAGATGTGGCGTTCCTGGAAGCGACGCTGAACAAGCCGTTCCTTTTAGCGGTTTTGGAAGAGAAGTCGAGGGCCATGCTTTTGCTTGGCAGAGTAACAAACCCCCTGCTCGGGGTTTAACCGCAAGCAGGGGGCACGGGGAGGGAGGGGGATGACGCACGTTTCCCATCGCCTTTTTCTTATTCGTCTTTTCTGACCTTGTTGAGTGCTCTGCTTCGCTTTGAGAAGAAGCGGGTAGCGTTTGAAATGGAAGCTGAAACATCGCAACGTTTCATCCTTCCTCACCTGTTCCACATGAGGTGACTCAAATCTTCCTCCAGCCTCTCTCCTTTCCTTATTCCCACTTCGTCTCCCTTCCGCCCCCAGCTCCTTCCTTTGCAGCAAGGGGGACAAAGCAGTAGCCAGCAGGGCATTGACTTAGAAAAATAGTTTTATAAGCACAAGCATCATTTACTATAGAAAGGTATAGAAAGGGACCTCTTCATTCCTCATGAGGCCACTCTTTAATTTTTAGTTTGGTCAGTTTTGCAAGAGCCACCCCCTTTTAAGTGCCAGTGAAAGTTTTACCGTTATCCACAGAGATTTCTAGCTTCATAACCAGCATTTTCCTTTCAGATGCTGCCAACAGCATGGGCAGGCTTCGCTTGTCCTGCTGAGACAAGGGGTTTTTTGCCTTGGAAGCAAAAAAGATTTAGAGGAAGTTTCTTCTTTCTGCAGCCCAGATGGATACACTTGTTTCTTAAGTCTATGGAAAAGCTAAAAATAGGGTTTGGTAGCATTAATGAACTGCGATGGATAAATTCGCACAGCCTGACAGAATTATCTCTGACTTTTTGTAGGAGAAAAAAAAAAGGCTTACTATTCCAATACAACTCCATTCCTTGGACTAGTTTCTAACCTGCGAGGGATTTATTCCAGCAGTATAGTGAAAAGAACATTACTGGTTAAAGCCTAGATCTGGAAATTTTAACATATCCAAACCATATGTTCTCAAAAAATAGTATTAAATACCAGTATAAATGGTGAATGTGCTGCTACACATGAATAAAAAGGTTTTAGTGGTCCAATCCAACTCTTAACAGAGTTGTAAAGGTTTGAAACATCCGACTGAACAACAGATTATTGGACCACCCTCGAATTAGGAAGTGAGGAACTGGGGGTGAGATCCCGGTACTAGGGAAAACCTCTCAGTGGAACAAGGCTTTCCAGCTCCCATCTCTCGATTTGTCTCTAGCACTGGTGGCGCTTAGAAAAATCACTGCAAGTCTCTCGGGTACCTGATGCCCGACGCAGCCTATGGAGCTCACTGCCATCTGCAACGGCCCACACGTCTGTCTGATCCAAACCCCCTAACAGCCGTAGCTTGCTGTCAGTGATGCAGCTCCATCACAGATCCTTCCAGCTTAATGGAACAGACTCATAAATAATACAACTCACTCTCGAGAATACGAGGATTTCAAGTGCTATGATACAGCATCCACGTATTTATCTGGTTATACTGTATGTATTCCAGATGCTCTAACAAGTACAGTATTTAGATGTATTACATACAGAAGCAAGTAACTATAAATGTCCAGAGACAGCAAGATGCAAATAAAACCACTTCCAAAATGCTTTGCCACAGTTCAGTTGGGTTTATGTCTGTAACTGTATCCCTTGTTCTGGTTTCTAAAATTTGCTCCAAATCAGATTTATGTTTTTTTTCAGACAATAAATTGCAAATTGTCATGCAATACAGCCAATGATAGAGCTGTGAGCATGGAAGAGGCAGCTTCCAAGTGTTCATACTAATTTAAAAGTTCTCCCGTTTCCTCATTGAAGTCGGAAGGTGGCATCAGCCACAAATAAAATTTCAGACCACAACACGTTCCATTTCCACGCTGAAGATGGAGGATAACGTAAGGGAGCCCCTGGCCACGCTGCCGGTAAGTTCTGGGACAAAACACCATTGCTCTGAGGTGGGGGCTGCATGGTCGGGGAGGGCTCCACGCCCTCCTCAGTGGCTACAGGCAGAAAACCCAACCCACCAACACACCCCACCACCCACAAAGCCTAACACTTATCAGAAGAGAAACTCCGCGGTGGAGGGAGAGCACCTCTCCTCTGACACCCGGGAGAAGAAAAGGCAGGAGGAAAGGGCTAGGACAGGGAACTAAACGCATACTGGCCAGAGCAAGGACTGGGAAGAGAGTGGTACCCCAGCAAGTGCTACCGTACCAAAAGGATAAGCTATGTGCACATGTAGCCGTTCTCCGAGACACTCAGCTGGTAGAAAAAAAACCCAAACCAAAAAAAAACATCCCCCCAAAACACAACTAAATCTGCTTCCCTGACAATATGAGCTCTGCTGAGACTGGGTTCCGACATCAGTTTTACATCCAGAATTTTTACAGCATTTTCAGCTCTGAGGTCTCCCCCAGCCGCAGCGAACTGCTCTGCCAGGCACACCACGGCACGTGTCCCAAGCGCCCCAGGCACCAGCCACGGCCGAGCTCTCCGCAGCCTGCCGAACGCAGCACCTAAACACTTGCCAGTTATCTCTAGGTGATAAGGTTAAAACAGTCTGGTCCACTCCGGGCATAGCCCAGAAACATGAGAATCCAGCTACCATTTTAGAGGAAAGCATGCCACAGCTCTTT